ATCTGTGAGCATTTGCTTCCACCGCTTTAAAGGTCAACCTGTTTCTCAAGCCCCACAAATGCCAATTGACCGAGATGAATAAAAAGGACCAAACAACTTTTGTCCTTTCATGCTGCCAGCCCTGTGTGAGTTGCCAAAAAGCTTTCTTCACACTGCCACATACTGGAGTATGAATGCCGCCACCAAACTAAAATCTTCATCCATACATTGTAAGAAAAGGAACACTTTGCAAACACGTGGTCTGCATCTTCTACATCCTTCCCGCAAAAAGAGCATGAAGTGTTGTCACCATCAACTGCAATCCCTCTCAAACTCAAGTTCTTCTTTGTCGGTAACCTGTCCAGAAATAGTCCCCAGGCAAAAAAATTCACTTTTTCAACAAGAAATTTATTTCAAATTGGTTTGCAAAAAACATCATCCAAAATTCTTCGATTTGAATTCAACATCGCATAAGCTATTTTTGACGTGTACACTCCATTTTTGTCAAATTTCCAAATCCTCTTATCCTCCTGCCCTTGCTGTAATCGCACACCCTCAATTAACTCTAATAACTCCTTCTCCTCCTCCAATTCCCTCCCAAATAAAGTCCTTCTCCAATTAACTTTCCGGTGCCATTGACCCTCCCTCCATTCCCCCAGCTCCTACACTCTACTATCCCCATTGGAAGAGGCATATTTTAGTCTTGGGTAAATCTCCTCCAAAACATGCTCCCCTAGCCATCTATCTTTCCAAAATTTAATTCTATTACCTTCTCCTAACTTCCACACAAGGCCGTCTCCTATGACTTCCTTAGACACCTCTATATCTCTACTAATTGAAACAATATCTCCCCACACTTTAGATAATCTCCTTCTACTCACATTCCCCACTCCCACTGCCTCTTCATCCCTATAATACTTCTCCATCACTACCCTTTTCCATAAACCTCCTTCTTCTTCCTCCAATCTTGCCCACCATTTTCCTAATAATGAAAGGTTTCTACTTCTAAGATTATGCACCCCTAATCCACCGTTATCTTTTGTTGTACAGATTTTCTCTCAAGAAACCCAATGAGTTTTCCTTCTAGTTTTTCAATCATTTGCAACGCACACACTGGCACTTTAAAGATGGAGAAGTAGGATAAGGGGAGAGAAGACAATACCGATTTAAGAAGTATAAGTCAGCCATCAAAGGACAAGGTACTCAATTTCCAACCCAATAATACTCGATTTCCAACCCGATAATCTTTTCTGGAATTTTTCCACAACCAGCATCCACATCTTTCTCCTTCTTGGGTGATCACCCACCGGCATACCCAGATACGTGAAAGGGATTGAGCCACTCTTGCATTTTAGAAACTCTGCTGCCCTTCTTATCCACCTTTCATCAGTTTGTATCCTGATAATACTAATTTTTTTAAAATTAATTTTTAATCTTGACATTAGCTCAAACCACCTGAGAATCCCTTTTACAACCCATACATAATCCATATTAGCCTTGCTCAAAATTATTGTATCAGCGAACAAATTGAAGGTGTGAGATGGATAGATTTTCAATTCTCACTCCCTCTAGCAAACCCACATCCACAACCTCCTTCAGCAAGTAATGCAATCCTTGCGCCACCAATAAGAACAAAAATGGTGAAAGTGGGTTGCCTAGTTGTAGACCTTTCTCTGGTTTAAATTCCTCTGTGAAGCTACCATTGACTAATATAGAGATAGTTGCAGATGAGATGCACTCCATAATCCATTTTTTCCATCTCACCCCAAAGCCATATTTCTCCATCTCAACCCAAAGCCATATTTCTCCATAATACAGTTTAGGAATTCCCAATTCACACAATCATATGCCTTCTCAAAATCTACCTTTAGAATAAAGCTCTCCAACTTCTTCCTCTTCACCTCGTCTACAATTTCATTAAGCACAAGGATACCATCTACAATTTGTCTCCTACCCACAAAAGCTAATTGATTTTCACAAATCAAAATCTCCATGACTGACTTCAATCTATCGGCTAATACCTTGGCTAAAATCTTGTATAAGCATCCAATTAAACTGATTGGTCTAAAGTCTTTAAGGCCCATCGGATTTTCCACCTTAGGAGTCAAAATAATGAAACTAGAATTTATACCTTTTGCCAGTTTGCCATTGACATAAAACTCTTGCATAAACTGCATAACATCCTCGTCCAAAATATCCCAAGCAAATTTGATGAACTTAAAGTTGAACCCATCCGGTCCTGGAGATTTCTCACTTCTACATTCTGCTATTGCTGCCTTTACTCCCTGAATTGAAAACTTTGCTTCCAACCTATTGTTGTCTAAATTAGAGATTTTTTTAAATTCCAGATCACCCATAATCGACCTCTTCCATTTCACTTCTGAAAAGTGTTTATTAAAGTAATCAAGAATTTCATTCTTCACTTCCTTCGAATCATCTTCCCATCTACCATCTCTCCACAGCCCCTGAATACAATTTCTTGATCTCCTTAGGCTTGCATATCTGTGGAAGAACTTGGTATTTGCATCACCAAGCCTAACCCAATTAGCTCTTGATTTCTGTCTCCATAGCTCCATAGCCCTTTTTTTCCTCTTCAATGCCGTCCATAGTTCATCCACTCCCTCCCTCCTTAATAACACATCAAAACCATCCAACTCATAATCTTCGCCTTTTAAATCAATCAAGCAAATTTTTTCTTTGGCTTTCTCTATTTGTTGATCCGTATTGCCAAACACTCTCTATTCCACTTTCTAAGAAAGGACTTCAACTTCTTCAACTTCTCCTTGCATTTGAATCCGGCCCACCCCTCCATTGTTGTTGCCTCCCACTGCTCTTTAATAACTTTTTTGAACCCAAGATATTCTAACCATTCATCCACTGATCTGAATGGCCTAGGCCCCCAGTCATTACTATTTATTTTAAACAACACAGGACAACGATCTGAAATTGATCTTCGAAGTTCCACCTGGCTGTAATCATTCCATTCATCCAAAAATTCAGAATTTACCAAGAACCTATCTATTCTACTCATGGCAGACCCATCAGCTTTGTGGCAGGTATATTTTCTCCCTACCAATTGCAGATCTACCAGCCCAGCATCTGATATGAACTCATTAAAGGCTATGACTTCCTCAGTGCAATCGGACTTGCCAACCCTTTCAGATGAATTCAAGACTACATTAAAGTTTCCCGCTATGCAAACTTTGCCTCCTACTGACAAGATCACCTCCTTCAGTTCCTTCCACATTTGTATTTTCTCCTGCAGTTTACATGGGGCATACACATTGAAGAATGAGCAAGGAATTTTAGTTGGACCCTAAGCCCCTTTCACTCCTATAAACCAATTTCCTACCACTGAGCATTCCTTAACAAATGTAGATTTACTCCAAATGCATAACAAGCCTCTAGATCTGTGTATTGCATTCTTCACCTCCCAATCAAAATCATTTGCACCCTAAACTACCCTACAGTCTTGAGCCTCAATTCCTTCCCATTTTGTTTCTTGGAGAAAAATCATATCCACCTTTTCTTTCACCACCAAACTTTTCACATCCTTCTTCTTCAGCACATTATTTAGACCTCTAACATTATAAGAGATAATCTTCATGTTTACTACAATACCCACTACTGACCTCCATCATCTCAATACCGTATGCCTCTATCCTCCTCCATATCCTCTAATTGTTGCACCACCTCTACAATTTCCTACTCATTATCCCCAATTTTAACCTTTATGCTCCTACGCAAATCCAGGAACCTATTCATCTGTCCACAACAATTTTTCTTTCATAGAATCTTGTTCCTCTGCTCTATCGTACTATTCGACAATGACAAGCCTGTAATCTTGCTATTCTACATCCTTTTTTCCCTCTATAGCTTTCTTCTAATTCCTCTATTCTTCTCAGTCACCCACCTCACATCACTTGCTTCTGAATGATAAACATCCTCTAGATCACGCCAACGTCTCTCCTTCTCTGTTTTCCAATGTTGATGGTCACCAGATTCTTTATCCCTCTCTAACTCCTTTCTTTGTGCTGATTCTAACTCCCCCACAACATTAGAATCATTTCGACTGGGTTCACCAACATGGGCTTCAAAAACATTTGATTCTTGGGGCCCAATTTGAAGGCCCAATCCTTTATCTCTGGCACTGTTCATATTCTCAGACCCTATAGGTATGCCTTTATTAATGTAGCTACCACTAGCTTCATTTTCCAACTCATCCCTCGAGCCACGAGATTTGATACAACTATCGCCACCATATTGGCATGCATCCGCATATGAGTCTTTCACCTTCCCCTGCTATTCCCGAGGAGATGAAGTGACATTATTGATATCTGTCTCTTCGACTTCCTCAAAGCTACTAGAACAACCGTCACTGTTACGGTCAGCGGAAAGAAAACTTTCTATCCTCATTGCACTATTGGAAAGGTTTGAGATTGAATTATCATCACCCTCTTCATTCTACTTATTGCCACACATCCACCATTCAGGATCTGCCTTCCATGATTCCTCGAACACATGTATATCAAATGGACGACCATTGACTCTTAAGACCAAATCACCATCAAGCTTCTCGGATTCAGACACCATCACACATATTCTAGCCGCTTCCAAGCAACTCTTGTCTGAAGTATGTTTATCAGCATAGATGTATCGTCCATAATGATCTCCTATCAATTTGAAGCAACTTTCATTCCAAGCAAGAAGAGGAATCCCTAAGACTTTTAGCCAGACAAATCTGTCTTTGTTAAGGTCAAATGCCAACCACAATTTAACTCGCTCAAACCATCTCTCCAACCATCTCCTTTCATTGTTTACCAACTCCCTTATAAGATCATCATCCTCACCTTTTAGCAGTACCATATTTCCTCTTAGAAGGACAATTGCAATGCCGAAATACCCTTTCATCTCAAAGATTTCTTGTAAAGAAGGGATAGTTTCCGAGGATATCACTGTACCTACTGCACAAGCATTCAACCAAGCATAATCCTTCTCTTCCACGGAATATTCAATCACCTTTCTTTCCTTAGATTGATCACTAGTAACTTTCTCTCTAACTTGTAACTGCCCTCTTACACGAATTCATAGTCTCCCCTTTCTAAGCTGTATTTTTGTGCGAATTCCCCTTCAAGGCGTCCAAAAAAGATTTAGAGGCCCCCATCGAATTCTCCTTATTTTCTTTTTGTTTCTCAACTATCCCTGCTTTTTCTTCTTGCTCTGAAATTGCACCCTTTGCCACCCACTTCATCTTCCTTCTAATCTTTCCCATCTCAACCTTCTTTGCCTCTCCCACCTTCAGATCAGTATTCTCCTTCCACCCAAAGCATATAAATTTAACCCTCATATGAAAATTGTTAATCCAAAACCCGTTAAGTCTTTCTTCAAGCTCAGAAGTACTCTTCACATTCAAAAATCTTACAAAACCATACTTCCCTCCACTCCTGTCTCTCTTGTTGGATACATGAACATTTAACACTTTTCCGTACCTTGAGAATAGACCCACACATCACAACGTTCCATTCCTCAGGAAAGTTAGAAAAAAGAAAACTCCTACAGTTCTTCAGTAACTCCGGACTGATCAGTGTGAATCTTCCATATCTCTGTCTATCCCTTGAAACCGATGCAAATCTTCCACGAGTACCCTGTCCTATGACTAGGGCTGGGCATTTTTCAACCGAACCGATTCTTTACCCGAAAACCGAACCGAAAAAATGAATTCGGTTCGGTTTCAACGGTTTTCGGTTTTATTTTTTCGGTTTCAGTATTAACCGAATATATTTCGGTTCGGTTTCGGTTGAGTCTCTTAAAAATCGAAAACCGAAAATAAAACCGAAATTAGAATAAAATAGATAAAATATATTAAAATATGATAAAATATAACA